AAACCCTATACCAACCCGTCTCGCCAGCGTGGTATAGTAGGCCAAAACCTCCTTTCTAAGGGGAGGCCTATGTCCAGCAGTGGATTATTAAAGGCTGTTGATGATGATGATGATACGAAGAAATCATTTGCTGGCCAGACTTAAACAGTATAAACTCACATGATGTTGTACGCGCTAATTCCAGGAGCTACCATTCGAATAATTCGAAATATAAGAATCTTACTGGATATTTGGATTTCTCTTTATGCATTTTTTTTTAACTTCACAAATCTCACACACGGCCGCCTGATTCCAAACTAGGCAGAGCCTGTACTATGGTAACCAGACTGCTGATAAACATACTTATGTATTTCTAAATATATACATATTATAGATAAATTACACCCAGACACAGATCAAATCATCGTGCTCTTCACACAAATATTTGTCCTTTGTGGGAATCGAACCCACGAACCTGTCTGCTTGTCAGGGTCACTAACCACTAGACTGATAGGCCCATCATTAAATAGTGTAACTTTCTAAGGAGTGTAAAAAGCTAATTTTCATCAGGATACGGGAGGCGTAAGACCATTTAGAGAGGTGTGGGAGCTGTGGAACTACAGGGAAGGCTAAAAAATTAAAAAACATTAGGCTTAAGTATTAATTTATTACAATAATCATTTATTCTTTCAAATATTTACAACTCTAAAACCAATATTCATTTACTCACATATTATATCATAATGTATGATAAAAATATTCAATACAATCATAATAATAATTAACAGTAATATGTTCATTGCAAGACAAACATTATATATAACTATGTTATTATTTATTTAAATATTTTATATTTACATAATTTAACAGTATTCTACTACCTATTATCGTAACCATTTTAGCACGGTACTATTATAATACAGTATTGTAACTCGGCCGCATGATAGAAATAAATGCCTACAGCCGCGCGGTACGTAAACATGCGTTAGGGCTGCCCGTCTCCAGCATTTTAGTGACATTTGCCTACTTTCTGTTTCTATTTAGATTTGTGATTGTAAATATCCTTTTTATATAAATAAATGAAATACTTTGTATATTGAATAGGAATTGTTCAATAAAAATGCGTGTTGTTTTTTGATTGGTAGATTTAATTTAAAAAAAAAAATTGGTTGCCTGTAAAGTCGGTATACGGGCGAAAGTTTTACGTGACAACGACTATGTCTGTCTCTCTCGCTCTTAGGCGGGCTAACCATGCCCGATTGGAAGGGACGCGTGCCTCTCACTCGCTCTCATTGTGAGCGCATAACGTGAGCGGAGCGTAACGCAGTTTCTTGAAGTGTCACCCGGCAAACCAATTTATAAGACGTTGTCACGTCAAAACATTTTTTTGTTTGAAAAAACCAATCGGGCTTATAAATTAGCGACCGAAAAAAATCCTTCTATAAAATAAAATAAATGTGCTTTCTCCATACGCGTTACAAAACTCCAATCCTTAGAAACTCCAACACCTACCACCTACTCAACTAGAATGCAAGAAACAGCTGACGAGTTAGTAACTTTTTATCTCAGCTAATTAACGTCTCTATAAATTACCTAACCTATAACCTACAACTCGCAACAACTCAAAACAAAAATTCTTTGGTCACCAATTAATTAATTATTAAAAAGCTGAACAGCTGACTACGAATGTTTTAAAATCACAACCCTCAAACATCTAAATATTATATATGAGTCTAGCTGTTGTTGTTAATACCGAGAAAATAAAACCAGTTTTTAGTGGTATATGTTGTTATAGTAGCAGCAGAAACACTTTGTGAAAATTTCGAAAACTGTCTAATGACACACAGACGGTAACAAATTTTTTTTAGTATTATTCATACACACAGATAATAAAGATATATTATTAATAATAAAATACCACGTCTTTAAGTAGAATTTTCTTTTTTTTGAATTATGCAAAGTAACAAAACAAACATGCACCGAAGTTTTAACACAAGCGTAAGTAGGTAGGTACCTACCGTATCATGATTCATTCAGAACCGCATGTAACTCCCTATTTCACTCGTCTCAATAACTTTCCGTTACTCTATTTGCTTTATTTATTCATCCAAACGCCTTTTTTTTCGTGAGATAAAAGGAAATACTTATCCATTAAAAAGACACACATTATGTACCTACGTACTAGTAAGTAAAATTATTTTATAGTCTTACTTTTCAGAGTTTCCAGGTAATTTAAAAAAACTTATGTCTGGATGCGTTATTGACGAATTCATACAACCAAAAACAGCACAATATTTCCTACTCGTCATATTAACTGATTTTTAGAGAAAAAATCGCGCGGTTATTGTTAAAAAAACAACACGCAGTCCGTTCGACACTGCGGTACAGCCGTGACTGTCTGCGCCCCGAGCGCACCCCGAGATCGAGTCGCGTAGGTATAGCTCCCGTTTCGTCCGTTTGTATGAAGTTGCAGTACTGTATTATAATAGTACCGTGATTTTAGTCACCAATTTTCTAATTTCATTACTTTCATACATAATTTTATTTTGGCACAGAATCCTAATTAACTTTTAAAAACAAAATAAGACAAACTTTATTTTTATAACTGTTGAATGTAATTTTAGAATTTTACACAGTGGCTGTATGTATTAATCACAAGTTTCTTTTTAAATAAAGTCATTTAGTGCAATATAGTAGTTGTGATTTGCCTAAACCCAACAATAACATTAAGTACCTGCCAGTGAAAATCCTGGGGAAATTGATTCTCAGATTATTTAAAACAAATAGTCAGAGAAATATTTTGAAAACTGTTTTTTAGTTAAGTATTGTGTAAACATACAGATAGATTTTATTCATTTGCATGCATAGATCAATTCATTTAAGAGTTTATTTAAATGACGACGGTACAAAACAAACATGTCGTATCTCGGAAATCGACCTTAAAATTTACTAGTAAGTAATTAATAAGAAACAAAAAGCCCTTTGATTTGTTTGCGAACGGATGGGCGACTGTTTTGATTGCATGTATGAAGTACCGCGAGAACATGTCTGTTCGGTTTATTATTTTTATATTAGTTACTTTTATTTTACATTAGGTATTTTCTTTAGTTAATATTATTAGATTGTACCCGTTCTAACTAAACTGATTGTTGTAAAATCCATCCAGAAAAAATTACTTGCCCTGACTTTTTATGTTGTAAGCACCCGTAAATTTTCCCCTTAAGGGAGTAAAATAAAGGAATCCTTTGTTTTACCCCCTTAAGGGGGAAATTGCCAAAAAACTTTCTTAGTGGTTGTATGAAAGTTATTTATTTTTAAAGTTAGAAACACAAAAAAAGGAATAATTAGGCGAGCGAAGCGGCGGCCATAAAATTTTTGTAATATCGTAAAACACAGAATCTTCCTACGTGGACATGCGATTCAATTAATTCAAGATTGTTTAACATGGTTTGGTTTAATGGCTGGTTTAATTCGTTCAAATTCATATTCTTTCTATTTTGTATAGTACTCTGTTCTACCCACATACTCCATCTTATCTCAAAGAACGTTTTGAATTTTTACACAATTCACATTGCAGGTCCTTGAGGTCATCAGAAAATGTGAAGTTAAAAAGGCCCAGGCACACCACACAATTTACTGACAAGTCGTTCTCTGTGCAAGCAGTTCGACTGTGGAATAACCTACCATAGGCAATTAGGCAAGTTAAATCACTGCAAATATTTAAAAAACTGGTCACAAATCATTACTTGACATCATAGAGGAATTTGTGTTTTTATGGCTCTCTGTCTGTATGTATTTATATATGTTGTATGTATTTAAGTGTATTAGTTGTATGTATACTGTAAAAGTATATAGTAAACTTATATTTATTGTTCTTTTTTTTTGAATTTATTGTAATAGTACATTGCAGGCTACCCTAATTTTTAAATATCTAATAGCCGTATAAAGGTTGTCTGTAAGAGATCGCCGTGAGCGATAAGACCGCCTATTGTTTTACTGAAATGCATGTAATATCTGTACTACGCAGGACGCAGGCTTACTACGCAGGACAAAAGCACTGCAAAGAAAAGGAAAACTTGAAACAAACCAACCCGCCTGGCAAAACTACCTGTCTAAGGAGAGGCGTATGTCCAGCAGTGGACTATTAAAGGCTGTTGAAGAATATGTACTAGAGTAATATAAAAAACAGAAAACCTTTATTATTTGAAGGTTTTCTTTTTTTTTTCATTATTTGAAGGTTTTCATTTTCAAAATTTTTTCTTTTTTTTTCAAAAAAAGGTTTTTTACATAGGTCACCTGATGGTGTGTGGGCGTGCAAGGAAAGAATTGCCTACGATTGGTTTTTTCCAACTTAACGAATATACGAATATTTCTATTGTAAATAGATTTTATTGATTGTCTAACTTGATAGTTTTATTATACATATCACTATTTAAAATTATCTTTTTTTATATATTAAACTTAGAAAATGATTTAAGATTTGTCGTCAAAATAATTAAAATAGTTGTTGACAATGGGTCGGTTTTCAAATAAAATCTAATAACAACTAGATTTATATGAGAATAGAGTTCAAAGTTACATTAAAACTGTATTCGTTTAATATTTAGCTATATATATGTTAGTATACATCATATGTTTTTGTATTAGATCATAAAATATATAACATGAAAGGCTTACAGTAAGTTTTAATATAAAGAGTGGTACATATTTTTTAAACTACACTTCTGCAAGAATGTCGATATTCAATATATAATAGTTCCATCTAGTTGCCTAAACTAAAAAAAAAACTGCAGTTAACAGTTCGAATGTAAAAATAAAACACATCCATACGTAATTGTCAGTTCGAGGCTCGCACTGTAGAAAGAGATCCATTTCATGAACACATAATCGTATGTTTCTCAACGACGAGTGGAGGTGAGGTGTGTGGGGGGCGGAGAGGGGGGGAGGGAGTCCTACAGCAGGGCGCGCGCGGCGCTGCTGGAGGGGCGCAGCGCGCGGCGCGGCGGCGCGGGGGCGCGGCGTCAGCGCGTCGGCGCCAGCGACCCGCCGCCCCACCAGCGCAGGCACGCCGGGTCCACGCAGCGGGCTCGGGCCGCGCGACGTGATGCCTCTTCCAGAACGTCCTGAACGCGACCATCGTATCTTACAATACAGCAAGTGTAGGGTGCTAGCTTACGGTTACACTTTGATCCGTAAAAGAACCCTCAGATCCTCAATCAATTCAAGACAATTCCAATCAATTCAAGACAATTTCAATGGGTTCCAACAAACCAACATATGAATTGTCAACAAATATGACGTCGTCAACAGTATAAATAGAGGTTTAATAAACGTTTTGACATCTAATAAACTTTTACTTGACATTTACAGCGTATTCTAAAGACTGAAAAAATGTATCACGTTGACGCCTATTTACGATAGAACTATAAACAAGAGACACAAAGTAAAACAACACCGTACCTGCTTCTTCAGCACTATATGCTTTCCTTTCCAGTACTTCATTAGCCCTCTCTCCTGGAGCGTCGACACGATGTCCGAAGACGCTATCGCCAAGTCTTTGCTCAGGTCTCTTATACACAAGGTCGGGCCGGGGGCTGAACATAACCTCTTGAGTAACGCCTCCTTCCAGTACGACCGATATGATATTAGACCTAGATCTGATAATGGAGTCTCTGGAGAGCCAACTTTGCCTTCTTCCTTAGTCAGAAGATAACCTGATAAGAGGAAATATGCAGTTAATTTATCGTATTGAAACATATTTGCTGTTAAACATACTTTTGTTACTATATTTATCAACACGTTCTTAGATCGCTTGAAAGTTTGGATGGATCCTCCAAAATAGCTAGGACTCGATAAAATTTAGTACAAAGATTGCTCATAATCTGAAACAGGACATAGGCTATTATTACATTACAGTGTTCGATGCCGCGGGCAAAAGCTCAGTGACCGTAACGAATCCTAAAAAAAGAAATCATAAGACATTACTAAAAAATAGGCTAACGGGTTAATGTAACACACAGTTTCGATCACGCTTCACACATATCAAGTTACCTAAAGTTCACTTACAGGAGTTGTTTAACGATGCAGAAAAAATCAAAAATGAAGTAATAGTTATTGTTTAATTTGCCTTGAAGTAGAATAATTGCAAGAAGCCAGGCAATTTGCGTGTCAACTTTGCCCACCGAGAAGCTAGAACCCCGTATAGGGAAGCTCTACAAACAAAACCTTGTCAATAAAACTTTATTTTTTTGAAATTTGTACAGCACTCATGTCCAAAAATTATAAGCCGTTTTAGTATGACTACATATGTTTTCTTTCAATAGACATAATAATTAACATTATTAAAATGGAAAATTATGGGGACCTAAAATACAACCTTGGAGTACGCATACATCAATTAAGTAGTAAAACACGTACATTAGTCACAGTACGTTAAAATTCCATATACGTGACAAATATTTATCTATGTAATATTACTACTTTGCTTGTACATATTATTATATTTTAGGTGAGGTATATCTTTGATCTCTTATGTTATAATTTGTCAAACGCAATTGTCTATGCTAAAAGTTGTATAGCGGTCGATGTTTAGCGGCCTATCATTAATATTCTCGTACCAATTTCTAGTTTCGAAATTCAAATTGAGTCGGGACTATTTACAGTTTGCGGTCAAACTCATGAATAAAATATGTACGAAACGAAATATTCGACACGGTGGTGATAAAGAGTCAGAATACTTATTCTGAAGGACTCGTTGGTCTAGCGGCTAGAAAGTCTTTCATCGTTCATCATCATCATCATCATTTGGTATGTGCCTGGCTGTAATTTATTTATAATATGCACGTGACGAATTTAGATATATACAATGTTTATCAGCGGTCTGGTTATCATAGCACAGGCTTTGTCTTGTTTGGTATCAGACTGCATTGTGTGATATTTGTTAAGTTATTGTTATTATTTATTAGTAAACTGTCAGTGATGGAATTTAGAAACCATAAAAAAAAACTCTATGTAAAGAACTAAAGGTACCGCAAAGTAAGTGCAAACAAATAAAAACTATAATTAAATTCGTGCTTAGACCTAGGCTAATCGACAAAATAGTTTACAAAAGCTCAAATCATGATTAGCACCTTTCGTTGTATAACGTGTATAAGGGTGATAATCGTTACTATTTATAAGGTAACACAATTTCTTTTACTATGTAAAAAGCACATTATAAAGATGTCAAGAAAATTTAAGTTGGGTTCATAATTTTTTTGCCTAAAAGTATGCGTTTCAGTACATTCATTTATTATTATGAATGGTTTTTAGTTTCGTATCCCTGTCATAAGCGAATGGCTTACCCCGTTTACGATGTTTCCGACTCTCTAACACTTAACAAAAATCTTCGCTCTTCATTGAATTAAACAATAAAAAACGATATTTGTTTATATGTAAAAATTATACACTGGTTTCGGTGTTTTTTTTTAAATTTAAGTATTTAATTGCCTTTTCTTTTCTTTTCAGAAGCTGCCTACAAAATGTTAAAATAAAGTCGTCCTTTGTATATTATTTTGCTTTGTATTTTCATTTGTTGTTGTTGTTCCATTTGATATAAATATGTATTGATGATATTTTTACTATAACAATATTGTATAAATAAAGTGTTATCTACACATATAACAACACTACTTTTGCGCTAGCCTTGTCCTTGTCCACCAAGTCGTAGTGTGTAAGAAATACAGACAGCTTAATACTTAACTAGATGCAATAAAATACACTGTACATTAAATTCGGTGCACACTAATTGAAAAAAAATGCTACTATTGTTTTCATAAAGGTTGAAGTTGTCACAACACTATACTACGTTATGTCACAGTTTGAAAATGTAATTTTTACTATAAGATCAGTTAGTGAGATCAAGGATTAGGCGAAACTTGACAACTGTTTTTAGATAGGTACCAAATATCTGCCTTTTAGAAGTACAATAATACATGTAACAAAGTAAATTAATGTTCAGGGCGACACGACTCGATAATTGTATAAAACAATAAACTCAGTCAGCAATAATCCTAAAAGTTGCCAACATTTTCAATTACCAAAATCCATTTACAAACCACCAATAATTCCCCACCCTGTCGCGGGCCGCACATACAAATTGCACACACACGCACCAGCTTATCCTAGGTTAGTTATATCGCAGCAGCCCTATTTACGTCTCAACCCCCCAGGCCCGACGGGGGGAGTCTAGACGGCAGACCGATCTATACTGCACTGTATCGATCGGGGTCGGGTCGACGGCCCCGTCGCGACGTCCCTCCCGGGGTGGCAAAACAAACCTGCTCACGGAGGGTAATGCGTGACCGTGCAGGTGTTATGGCTACCAATTGTTGAGTAAGAATTCATAATGTTGACGCTTATAGAGACGAATGTTATGATTGACACTAGAATTTAAAAAAAAAACACAGACAGTTTATTAGTATTTATATTCGGATTTAAGTTACTTTAAAGATGTCTGAAATCCTTTAGTAGTTTTACATTTCATTAATATTAAGATAAAGAATAAAGGTTATACACCTATATTACATTTTCAATATGTATTTTATTCCACAAAAAAAAACTCGATGCAATTTTTTTTTGAGTTTTTGAAGTGTATTCAAACCAAATTGACATTTTTATATAACTTAGACAATACCGATAAATATCGTGAATAAAAAAGATTTCATTAAAAATGATCAAATATTTGATCATTGTTCTTGAAACAACAACATTATTGTTGTTAAATAGTACTATTCATCTGCAAAAATTAAAACTGGCAGGGTTGTTTATGGCCTGGGATTCAAAATACTGACATAGTGATGGAAATGTTAATGATTTTTATTGTGTAGAATAAGTACACGGTAAAAAAAAAGTATTATTTGCATAGCACATTATCAATATATTAGAACTTTAACATATGAACGTCCTGTAACTAACATAGTGAAGCGACTGCCTGAAACACAGGACTCACACCTAGCTCAGGCCGTTTGCAAAAAAAAAAAATTTGTTTTCACCTCTTTATATTCAATCTGGCACATTGCACACACAATCTTGCATCAGAATAGTCATATACTAGTGTTATGTTAGCTTTAGTAACAAACTTTATATAAGAATCTAATTATAATAAGATGAAAATCATATACAAAATGTTACCTAGATTTAATTCTGATTTTGCAAATAAATTTTATTTTATTTGCTAAGCTTTCCTTACGGTTGAACTTTACTGGCCGTAACCGGAACAATACCTTTGATTCTATTCGAAATTTAAAAAAACTTAAGTCTCACCCACGACAGATACCATAGCTACTATTTTTATTTTTTATTTATGATACACTATGCCGATGTCGACAATTCTTCTTTTGATGCGATAAAAACACGTAGACACTAAGTAAATTAAAATGAAACAAAAGAACGCCGAATGAAGTTTCCAATTATCTGGACCGAATGTGTTTTTTTTATGTTATAGCACAATTGACATTGAGCCCTCATTCATATTTGTAAGGGCGCTGTCACATTGCGGTGACATTGACATACGCGTACCTATTCTGCGAGTTCATCGAACAACGTGCTAGAGGTTAAGCTCTTAGCAATTTATGTCTATTAAATAAATTAGGGGTGCGGGTGGGGCAAACATAAACTTATTTTTTTATTTTCTTATATTCGCATTTCTTTATGGTGTCAAAGTTATAGTTTTAATACGGTCTTTTAAATATTCTAATACTATCTTTATTAGTTACCCTTTTTCTCGTTCATATACTCAGTGGCATTACTGGCATTCTCTAGTAAGTTAAAATTTGTATTATATTCGGTACTAACTGAACCACAACTTCGTCTACGTCCATTGAAAGGAATGAATTTTTACAGTTTTGCAACATTTTCATTGATGCTCGGCCCCTATTGATGGTAGCGTGATTTTAAATAGTCTAAAGCCTTCCTCGATAAATGGGCTATGAAACACTAAAACATTTTTTTAAATTCGAATCAGATTAGCGCCTCCTACCGAAGAAACTCTTCAGCTGCAGTATGGATAATAAAAATTAGAAACTAAGGTTCGTTGACCTCGTAGCTTTAGTACCATTCGGCTTTCATAGTAATATACTTACATGATATAAAAATTAAAACAGCTGTAGCTTAAGGTTAACGGTTAAGGTGTCGGATTTCGGATCAGATCGTTGCAGGTTCGAAAATGCCAATGATATTCAAAATAATAACGACGTATGTCTGTTCGTCAAGACCTTTTTTAACCGACTTCAAAAAAAGGAGGAGGTTCTCAATTCGACTGTATTTTTTTTTTTTTTTTTTTTATGTTTGTTAGCTCAGAACTTTTGACTAGGTGAACCGATTTTGATGATTCTTTTTTTATTTGAAAGCTGGTGCTTCCCGTGTGGTCCCATTTCAATTTGGTTTAGTTCTGATAATGGCATCCATGAGAAAACCATATAAGTCTTAAATTTGCATTTAGTATGTTCGCGACAAATAGACGAATAACTCAATTTCACGCAAACCGATTTAGATAATTCTTTTTTTATTGGAATGGATGTACTTTAAGGGTACTTTGATGAGAGTTTGGTTAGATTCTGATGATGGGATCCACGACAAAGTAACGGAACTCTTCAATTCTTAGGAGCAAATTAACGATACTCGGCTGAATCTTTTATGGGCTATCTGGATATTTGAGTCACCTACAGTAACGTCATTATGGTCAAGTAATTGTCGTCATCAAGAGCCTTTAATAAGCTACTGATGGATATAGGCCTCTCCTTAGAAAGGAGGTTTTGGCCTACTATACCACGCTGGCCAGACGGGTTGGTATAAGGGTTTATTTCAAGTTTTCCTTCTGTTTGCAGTGCTGTTGTCCTGCGTAGTTTGCTCCCTCACTAGACTCTTACGACACCGACACGAAATGAATATAATGTAGTTACAATTATTGTTATTTTTGGAGTCGGTGTCAGCCAAGGAAACACTACGATATACCTAGCAATAATAATACGAGAATACTTCACGACTCGTCAACTCGCGCGTGCGACACAAGCACTTCTCACTTATAAGGTGTTGGTGAAACCGACTTGGCTGACACCGACTGCAAAAATAACAATAATTGTAACTACGTTATATTCATTTTATTTTACTTAGGAGAACTCAAATAAATATTTTGATCGTTGTTTGTTATTCACAGGTATATGTTAAATTAGATTTGAAATGGGTAGGTACCTACCTACCTTCTTGCGCGGTTAACACATAGATCGTACCTACATATAGATGAGTAGAAAAAGTAAGTTGATTATTAAGTTGTAGAAGAATATGCATTTATTTTTTTCCTTTTTAGTGCATATTAATTTGTTTTGGAAGTGTTTTTTGAAGTCGGTTTTTTTTTGTTAAAAATTTTTTTGTGATAGGAGTATCACAAAAAGGGTCTTGACGAACATACAGACTGGCATCGACGTGATCTTATAAGATAAAATTTTATTTATCTAAATACTGTACCTCTTTAAAGCAATGTACCGTCAATGATCGCAGCCTAAAGTTTGATATTTTTCATATAAAGAATCTGATATTCTATAAATCAACCATAGCTTTATATCATAGAGTCTAGGAGTCATAGTCAACCAGGAGCTTGAGGATTGCAGATGGTCCAACGAGCATTTATAAACCCATCGGTATCACAAATGGGTCCAACGAGCTTTTGTAAATTCACCAATCTGGGTGTGGTGTAGGAAATCCAAACATTAAGTATCTTTAAACCGATTAGTTAATGGCCGTATGTGCATACACATGGCCATTAGCTAGAGACAGAGTGGACATAGAGGGGTATCTATGTACATAATCGAGTTGTTACTAATGTTTCAAATTAAAAGAGAAAAATATACAGTGAATTAGACCGTCTAAATATAATACATGGCTCTAATAGCGGGTTTATGGGGCATCTGAGCAGCCCCATACCTAGTTTTTACAACTTTAAGATACTGTGATTAACATTATAACTATTAAATTCTATATAATGTACTAACAATGACATGACAACACTGTTAGGCACTTATGCAGAACTAGCTGCGCCCCGTCGTGTTGTCAATACATTTTAATTATCCCGCGGGAACGCTACATTTTATCGAGATAAAAGTATGCCCATGTGTTAATCCAGGGTGTCAGATACCTCCATACCAAATTTTATTAACAGTGGCCCAGCCGTTTTAGCGTAAAGAACTAAAAAACATACAAACACAGTTATTCACAAACTTTCAGCTTTATAATATTAGTGTGGCATCAAGAAAAATGAAAGATTTTGCGGGAAAATTTGATTAGGAAGTCAAATTTGCTCGTCCAATAGTGTTGCTAGTTAAAGTTTACTTACTGAAATCAATCAACAATCTTCCGAAGCCTTTTCTCTGGTACGGCGGCAGAGTGAGTATGCAGGATACGTTGTAATTCAAGAATGAGTTCTTTTCCTGCGGACAATAAATAGAGTTTAGCTTGACCACACGAAAGGAGTTTGTCTCTTACGCTACACCATAATAGCTGTAATTTAGTCGTAAGATTGACAAACTTGTATTTGACGGGCTTTTTTTCTAGTGGGTAGTGTTCCGGACTTCTAAGTCAGAGGTCGTGGGTTTGATTTTAACCCAGGACAATATGCAAAGCAAATTGCACGGATGGCGTAGTCGCTTAAGCGGTCGCCACGCTGAGTTCCTACTACGCTGAGTGTTGTGGGGTCGATCCCATCACCGGGCGACACTTTGTGTGATCTACAAATTGTCGTTCTGAGTCTGGGTGTTCTTTGTGTCCGTTTTATATATGTTTGTAAAGTCCCCCGCGATACAGGATACATTCCTAGTGCTAGTTGCCTCTTTAAAAAAAATTGTGAGATGAGCACGATCATTTGTTGTGTGTCTGGGGGTCATTTATCTGTAATGTGTACTCGTACGTATATTGTATTTTTATTGGTAGTGTGTAATACACCAGGCTGCCCATAAACAAAGTATATATGTGTATATATATATATTGTTTGGTTATTTTTATCATAGTACAAGCTCCGCCTGGTTTGGGATCAGATGGCCATATGTAAGATGTATGAGGTGACCTCAATGAATACATTTAGATTATTTCATCATTGACAGTATCAAGGTCCAGGTCTCGTCAAAAAGCGTGGAAAGAGTGACCATGAGTTTGTTTACCCTTTCTTCTCATAAGGCTCAACCCCTTGGAAACGGGCGGTTGTAGATCGGCACAGGCATATCATAGATTCTGTATGGGTTTGATTTTTGTTAAATTTATTTGCTTACTATTTGACAAAACAGAGATTGTTGCTTTTGTGTGTGTTGATCTATGACTTTAGAGTCTACATAGAGTCTACAAAAATTTTATGAAATAAAGAGAGTTTGAGTTTGAAGCAAAGTAATTTTCAGGAAAAGAAACACATATAATAGCGTGTGTTAACTAGACCAATAGCTGGAATACAGATAACAAATAAATTTATTAACGAATCTATAAGATTGTAAATTCTAATGTGAGATTGTTTGTTACGTTTCATGTCTTAACTATTAACTAATTTTTATGGTTTTCTTTTGGCGTTTGTTTGGCTTTAAAGGCATTCCTTTAAAATAAAAACAAATACAACGTGATTATTCATTTTTTTGAGTCGGCAAAGACAGCCGCGTCATACAGCGTATAAATACGTGACATGTAGGCTGGTATTGTGGTTATATTTCTAAAAATGAATGCGTATGACGTATGCTCTGACGCACATATTAGCGAGCATTTCAGTTTGTTTGTTATTCTCCGTACGGGTGATGTTGAACGGAAATGATATCTTGGCTAAAGTATTTTAATGCAAGCTTACGTATGGGCTTGTGATTCCAATAGTATGCAATAGATTTATATATCCTGTTTTTTTTAGATGTAGTGCACTAGTAGATAAGGTTCAAATTCACATACAAACTCTGGATCACGAGACCCACGCAATAGAAGACAATGATAACTTATTAGAAGGAACAGATTTTTATTCATAAAGTAAAAAAAATGCATCAATACTTGTGGACGAAAAAAGTAAAAAATAATTATTAAAAAATTGCAACCCATAAAGTCGTTCACAGCGGCTTAGGAATTTATAATAGTTGGTTCCCGTCACGGAACGCCATTTAATTTTATACAGTGCCTATGAGGAGGAACGATTGCAATGTTTTTTTCACACACTGCTGTTTGGTCTCAAATTATACGGAACCTGTGTTATGACCATCAGAGTGCTGAGAAACGTACTCATTTCTAAATACATACATATTATTGATAAATTACACCCACACAGAATAAATGATCATGCTCATCACACAATATTTGTCCAGGGTGGGAATCGAAACCTCGACTTCTAGCTTAGCAGTTAGGTTCTCTAACCACTAGCCCAATAGGACAGTCGTATGTTTAAAAACATCCACCCTCTAACATAAAGGGAGGATCCATCAATTAGGCGAGTTTGTCATGTGTAGCGAGCCGCGGCTCGACTGCTAATGTTGGGTAGTTGTTTATTTACTAAATAAGCAAGAACTTTCACAGTGTGATGAATTATTAATACTAATTCCGCAGTTAGATGTATTGATATGTATTGTATGCAGATGACATTAAAGCATGTTGTTTATTGTATGTGGCAGTTCCTTTACACCAATGACATGCGAGACATTCTTGCCAACTGGAGCCTACTGGAGGTTACCGAGAATATAATGCAAATATAAAGAGTACCTTTTAATTTTTTTCATCTTAATTCGCCATAGACTACAAATACAAAACTACAAAAACTTAAATCAAACCAGAGACAATATCCTCAGGGTTTTATAATCATCCTAAAACAAAAATATTATCAAAGGAACGTCTGCTATTACACACAAATAATTCATTTTAGAACCAAAACCCGGAAACTTTGCTGTAAGTAATGCACAATTTAAATTAAACTTTAAAGTTAGGACTGCCTTAAATCCAGACGTACCGTCCTGTCCGTCTGCAGCATCAGGTCGACGAACTGTTAGGGAGAGTGGAGGGACGGCGCGTCGAAAGGACGGGGGGAGGTTACAGAAACATTAAAAATAAAGCCTGACCTCTGTTGATATTACAAAGCATCTTAATAAAATAAGTTAATGTTCATCTAAATTTATTTTCTGTCAAAATGATATTCTTTTTTGAAATATAATATAAAGAAAACGTAAACGCGTTGCTCCGTTAATAAACTGGAACTCAAAATGAAATCATGATTTCAAGAAAAAGCTGTCTGACTAAATTCTAAATACAATAAAATTGTTTGTTATTCAGTCAATGTAACGGACTGCTATTCCAAAGGTCGCGGGTTCGATTCCCGCTCAAGCTGATTTGGTCTGGGTGTTTCTATGTATAATATGTATGTATTTACAAACAAGTATATATGTATTTATATCAGTTGTCTAGTACCCATAGTACAAGCTCTGCTTAGTTTGGGACTAGATGGCGTTGTGTGAATGTGGTAAAATATTAATATTATTATTTTATATATATAAAATGTTTAGCTGTTCTTGTACACTTCAATAAATCAAAAAAGTTCTGATTGAGCTCAAATTTTGACACGATATACAAACTGCTTCAAAGGTTGTTTTTATCAATTTTTTGCTTTAGTTCTATTCCCCATTTCTTATGAAGAGAACCAATATGTACCACAGCGAAGCGTGGCAGGGTAGTATTGTATAAAATACTTTGTTCGAAGTATACATTTTTAAAACAATTTCATAGATATGGTTGTCTGCTTAAAATATTTTGTGTTAAACTTGACATGCAAACGTTTTGTTAAGTCAAAGTTGTTAGATCATTTTGATTTTTGCAGAGTCTAAAGGCAAATCTTAAAAGTTTTCTGTATACTCGACTTGACCTATACGAACGAGTTCTACAAAAACTAGTTCTAAAAAAATTGTATTAGTTGTTGTAATTGTGTAAAGTCCAATACCTATCTTTGAAAAGGTTAGGTTTGGGATATGGTATTTCATGGTGAAATCTATCAGAAATGATGGCAACTACAACTTAAAACTATTTAGGTCGACTTACCCAGTAACCTTGTAAATATGTAATAAAATATATATACCTTTCTAATGCAAAGCATAAGTCCAGTAGTGGACTATTAAAGGCATGTGATGTGATGAGGTAACAAACATAATTGGAAACCTTGTTGTTTTCTTAACTCGTTTAAGGTTCATAAATTCAACATGTAACTAATAAGGCATGTTTTCATTAACTCTGCCCCTGCAGTCGCAGACAGGAGACGGAACGTAACAAAATTTTGTGGCAAAAAGCCCCTGTTGCACGAGTCCCCGGTCGTGGCTAGAGTTGTACGTAATGAATTTTCACAATAATGTTACATGTGTGCGGCGTCTAGACGTCTACGCTTGTTCGATAATTCCATCGCTTGTCACCCTTTAGGGTGTTAAACTGTACTCTACCTGTTAACGCACTTTGCTTTTGAACCATTATAGAAATTTGGATATTCATATTATAAGGCTATTTATGTCGGTATATTTGTTAATCAACGTTCAATACAACATTGCTTCGATGGCTTTGGCTTCGATTTCTGCCAAAAACAAATATATTTGTGATGACTATGATCATTTCTTTTATGTGTAATTTATGTATAATATTAGCTGACCCGGTAAGCGATGGTCTGCCATATTTCAAATATATTAGTTGGTAGGAAGGTGCAAAAAAAACTTAACGACCTATTTTTATACCTACCAAATATACAAAAATAAATCATGAAAATCGGTCGAGCCGTTTCGGAGGAGTGTGATCACAAACACCCTGACATGAGATATTTATATATTGAATGTATTTAATAATATACAAGTATTTTTTCTAGCAGTCTGGTGACCATAGTATAGGTTTGACTTAATTTGGGATCAGACAGTGGGGTGTGAGGTAAACATGGTCCTGTTTTAATCGCTTCGAAAAAAAAAGTGTATAGTCCCATTGCGTCTATGATATACACTGTATTGTAGGTTAAACCAAATTACTCAATAAGAAGACATATTAAATACTTTCTCCAATAAAATAGAAAGATTTCCTTTCAATTGAAGTAGTCTTTGTAATAACATTTATAAAACAACGAAAAATAACACACACACAGAAGTTTACAGTGATATTATTTAAATTAATGTATGCAGTGCAATGTCTCTTTCCAAGGTTTCTATATTTATGAAGGCCTTTGAGTTTCAACTTGATTGTGTAATTTAAAACAATAAAGTCATTTTTATTAAAATATTATAATGAAATTCTGAGTACGCATTTAGGTGTACTTATTGTTTTTTTTTTCAATTTGCAATAATTCAGACTGATGATAACACTAGCTGCGCCCCGCGGTGTTACACTACATTTTTTCCTTACATTATGTTCAGCCTTATATAGGCTACTTTTAATTCTGAATAAATGTATTTACACTATAATCTATCTC